CTTTATAAATACCCAAACAAACCTTTCACTACATACGCCCATACGAATATTTTCATTGTGTATCCAGCATTTACATCGAATTTCAGATCAAGGTAAAAGGGAGAAATTATGTAACACTGACTTATATCGCACGAGACTGCCATCGACCCCAATCGCATAAACAGATATCATGGAATTCCTCAGTCAACATTTTGGAAGACGGGAATGAAAACAAAAGGGAAAAATGAAGGGTTTTATTTTCGCTTATTTTCCTTTTATTTACTTGGGGGGGGGGGGGGAATGGACGATCTGAATATAAGATGTGTAGAGGTGTATGGTTATGATTATTGTTATTATTGTTGTTATTGTTATCATTGTTGCTATTATTGTTATTATTATTATTATATTATTATTATTATTATTATTATTATTATTATTATTATTATTATTATTATTATTATTATTATTATTATTATTATTATTATTATTATTATTATTATTATTATTATTATTATTATTATTATTATTATTATTATTGTCTCTATTATTACTGTATTATTAAAATACAATAGATTATTGATATAACAAAATAAATAAATACAAAATAGAAAATGAAGAGAACCCTTAATATGATAAATAATTGTAAATTGATAACAAAAACAAAAGAAAAAATGGAAATGAACTTAGATAACTACTGATAAATATTTATTTTTTTTTTTTTGCTTGGAATATATAACAAACAAATAAAAGGAAATGAAAGATAACTACTGATTTTATTTATGCTTAGAGTACATATAAAAGAAAAGCAAAAGACAGAAGAAAACAATAATAAATAACTTTGATAACTACCTATAAAAAGATGCTTAGAGGTGATAACAAACAAGTAAAACAATACAATAAAGGAGAAATGAACTTAGAAACCTACTGATAAAAAAATATATATCCACACTTAGAATATATATAAAAGAAAAAGAAATAATTTTACATAATCATTAATAAAAAAGAAAAAAAAAGAATATACCTAAAAGAAAAAGAAATAAGCTTACATAATCATTAATAAGAAAGAAAAAAATAGAATATACCTAAAAGAAAAAAGAAATAAGCTTACATAATCATTAATAAGAAAAAAAATATATATCTAAAAGAAAAAGAAATAAACTTACATAATTCTTAATTAAAAAAAAAAAATCTAAAAGAAAAAGAAATAAACTTAATTCTTAATTAAAAAAAAAAAAAAAAAACATCTAAAAGAAAAGAAATAAACATAATTCTTAATAAAAAAAAGAAAAAAGAAAAAACAAAAACAAAATCTACCTATACACTTGAAGGTTGCACAGACGGCACAGAGTGTCATATGACAGAACGTAAATGAAGACCAATTGCCGACAAATGCCAAAAGACTATTGGATTGCTTAACACTCTGTCTGTTCGATGCAGCTGTGCGTCTGGGCCAAGGACTGCGTGTGTTTTTATTTTTCTTTTTCTTTTCTTTTTTCTTCTTTTTCTTTTCTTTTCTTTTCTTTTATTTATTTTATTTTTTATTTTATTTTATTTTATTTTATCTTTTTATTTTTTATTGGTATTATTTTTCTTTTTCTTTGTATATCTATTTTTTTTATTATTTATATTGTTTGTTTGTTTGGATGGGTACTTGTGGATAGAAGGAGATGGAGAGGAATTGGAGGGAATAGGAGGAGGGAGGAGGGTGTAAAGAAGAAGAAAAAAGAAAAAGAAGAAAATAAGGTAAATTGAAAATAAAAATACAAAGTAAGAAGAAAAGAGAAAGAAAAAAAAAAAAAGAAAAAAAATCATGATGCTTATCAATTGCAATGATTATTAAGCGTAATATTGATAAAACCCTAAAAAATACATTAGTAGAAAATAAGACCGTGACAGTGGTTACAATATCGGCAAAACAAAGAAATAACAAAGAAATGAGATGATATATAACTGTTATTCAAAATGAGACTTGATGATAATGGAAGAAATTGCAATTTCACCTTATCACTTTTATTGCCATAAGTACAAACACTATAAAAAAGAGAGAAAATCTTATATGAGACTGACAATTATGATTCTCTGTTGATAATAACATCACGGAAGGTTATTAAAGGTCAGACGGGGGGGGGGGGGGGCGGGGGGGGGGGGCTGGGTTGTACCTTGTATCCCCTGGAAAGTAATGATATAGGGGAGGGGAGGGAGAGGGAGGGGAAGGAGAAGGAGGGAGGGAGGGAGGGAAGGGGAAGGAGGAAGGGGAGAGGGAGAGGGATGGGAGAGGAGAAGGAGGGAGGGAGAGAGAGAGGGAGGGAGGGGGTGTTATTAGAGGGATGGGGAGGGGGATAGGGAGGGGGGGAGGGGGGAGGGAGAGAGGGAGAGAGAAAGGGAGGGAGGAAGGAGGGAGAGGGATGGGTGAGGAGAAGGAGGGAGTGAGAGAGCGAGTGAGGGAGGAAAGGGAGGGAGGAGGGAGAGGCAGAGGGAGGGAGGAAGGGAAGGGAGAAGAGAGAAGGGGAGGGAAGGAAAGGAGAGAGAGAGAGAGAGGGAAGGAGGAAGGAGAGAGAGAGAGAGAGAGAGAGAGAGAGAGAGGAGAGGAGAGAGAAGAGAGAGAAGAGAGAGAGAGAGAGAGAGAGAGAGAGAGAGAGAGGGAAGGAGGGGTGTTATTGGAGGGAGGGGAGGGGGAGGGAGAGAGGAGGGAGGGAGGGAGGGAGTAGTTCTCGCGTGTGTAGTTGTGACATAACAGCTCAAGGAATGAATGGAGAATTCCGGAAATCTTTGTCTTCTTGGAAATGATTGTAGGATCTGAGGTCGGGCTGGGTACCTTTCTCTCTCTCTCTCTCTTCTATTTTCTATATCTCTTTCTACCCTTCTCTTTCTCTCTCTCTTTTTCTTTCTTTCTCTGCTTCTTTTTCTTTCTCTTTTTTTCTTTCTTTCTCTTGTCTCTGTCTTCTCCTTTTCTCTCTCTCTCTCTCTCTTTTTCTTTCTTTTCTTCTTCTGCTGTCTTTCTCTTTGTCTCTGTCTGTCTTCTCCCGCCCCTTTCTCTCTCTCTCTCTCTCTCTCTCTTCTTTCTTCTCTTCTGCTGTCTTTCTCTTTGTCTCTGTCTTCTCCCGCCCCTTTCTCTCTCTCTCTCTCTTTTTCTTTCTTTCTCTTCTTCTGCTGTCTTTCTCTTTCTCTCGGCCTGTCTTCTCCCACCCCTTTCTCTCTCTCTCTCTTTCTTTTTCTATATCTCTTTCTCTCTTTTTTTTCTTCTCTTTCTCTTCTTCTGCTGTCTTTCTCTTTCTCTCTTCTGTCTTCCCCCCCCTTTCTCTCTCTCTCTCTTTTCTATATCTCTTTCTCTCTCTCTTTTTTCTTTCTTTCTCTCTTCTGCTGTCTTTCTCTTTCTCTCTGTCTGTCTTCTCCCACCCCTTTCTCTCTCTCTCTTCTTTTTCTATATCTCTTTCTCTCTTTTTTTTTTCTTTCTCTCTTGCTGTCTTTCTCTTTCTCTCTGTCTGTCTTCTCCCCCCCTTTCTCTCTCTCTCTCTTTTTCTATATCTCTTTTCTCTTTCTTTTTTCTTTCTTTCTCTTCTTCTGCTGTCTTTCTCTTTCTCTCTGTCTGTGTTCTCCCCCTTTTTTCTCTCTCTCTTCTTTTCTATATCTCTTTCTCTCTCTTTTTTCTTTCTTTCTCTTCTTCTGCTGTCTTTCTCTTTCTCTCTGTCTGTCTTCTCCCCCTTTCTCTCTCTCTTTTCTATATCTCTTTCTCTCTTTTTCTTTCTTTTCTTTTGTCTGTCTCCCCCCCCCCCTCTCTCTCTCTCTCTCTCTCTCTCTCTCTCTCTCTCTCTCTCTCTCTCTCTCTCTCTCTCTCTCTGTAGTAAGCCAAGGCCCTACATTAAATGTCAGGAGAAGAGAAATAAAAATGAAATAGAAAAAAAAATGGACACGGGGTTTGTTGATAGTCACGTGACTATTTTTTCGTGTTTTAATTACGTGAATTCTGTATTGCGTTTGTTCCGGTGATAGGACATGTCTATCAATCAATTTATTAATATGTTTACATCGAGAACAATAACATTCCGTCTATTCATTCCAGTAACTATCCTAAGTAATGTTATATAAACACGTAGTTCCATTAACAGCTAATATTCACCTTTTCCTATCGTGTAACTTCTCGGAAAACCGATCAATAGAGATTGACAAAAAGCCGAAGTAAAAGTCACTCCCTTACTGAAGACACGCAACCGAAACCCCGCCTTATGCAACAGTGCCACAAGGCTGGAAATGCTTTTGCGTGTTAGTGGGGGCTCCGGGCGAGAGTTCTGCCTGACCTGGTGTGACCTGACGCGGGGGCTAGTAGCCATTTCCGAGAATTTCGTAGCATTGGTTGAATTATTGTTGCTATCTTCCAGGTACTAGGTTACTTGGTGAGAGATGTACGGGAGAAATTTTGCTAGGAAGGAATTTCTGTGGTGGGGCTGTTGCACTCGCGCCATGTTGTTTTGTTTACGTGGTCTTGTCGTCTTCAAGTTCAAAAGATATGGCGAATTCCGTATAATTATCTAGGGGGAAATATATGTAAAAAATCGGTATAATTTTACGTTTCGACTGCAAGACTAGACGAAGCAGGTGTCCTAAAATGAAACACACTTCTCGCTAAGCCACACCAACCGACCTCGACCTGAAGCCCCCCCCCCCCCCCCCCCCCAATCCACTTTCACAACGACTTTCAAGACACTCGGATCGACGTCGAATGGAGGGTCCGTTATAACAGCAAAACGCGGGGATTCCGAGACACACACGACGCATTCCCGGACAATACACAGAACGTTCCAGGAAGTGCGTGTTAGGTGGACCTTCTTCCAAGCCTCTCCCCCCCCCCTCTCTCTCCCTTTCCCCTACCCCTTCCCTTCGGTCAAGTTCAGGGTCTCTCTTTTTTATCCCCCCCCCCCGCCCGCCCGCCTGTCCCTCCCTTCCCCAACTCCCTCTCGCCCCCCCCCCAAAACTTCCTCAAAATTGGGCAACCTCGATCTATACTGCGCAGCTTCTACTGTGAGGAGCGGAAATGCGCTTCCCGATCGTCACTTCACTCCTTTCTTAGTTGCTAACCGGCTCATATTGCTTTTTTTCATAATAAGGAAAGAAAAATGAAAAGAGAGTATGAATGAAAGAGAATGATAAAGTTGATGTATACGTGCAATACAACAATTTTGATGGAATTGTGTTCGTTTCTGGCTGTGAACGAAACTCTTTGAAAGTGAATGTGTAAATACGGTACTGCTAATGATACGACAATGCTGAGAACGCAAGTCATTCATGAATATACGCCTTTTCAGTTCCCAAAGCAAGTTCCTGCTTTCGATCATGGTAATTAATGGAATAACATAAAACCACACGAATGAAAAATAAAACTAGATTACCCTCTCTCTAAGGCAAGGAAAGTGAATGGCAGAAACCATACAAGAACAGATCACATGAGTTTTGGATAAATGGATTACAAGTTTTGTGATCCCTGTGAAGCTCGCCTTTTATGCCTATGGAGAGAACTTCTTGGAAAATGATCTTAGAACTTTTCTGAGTGCATTGAGAGAGAGAAAAGATTGTTGTTGGGCTTCACTACAGTGTTAAATATGGATTTCATACTACGTAGAAGAAATAAGGGGTAAGGAAGTGTTGCACATACGCATTTTTGTGTTGTTACAGTATTTATTCGTTTTTATTTTACTGTTGTTATGAATGGTACTAAGTTTTAATATATCGCTATATAATGCTTTCAACAATTATATGGCTCTTCGAAGCTGTACGTATAAAGAGAATATGTTCATTCTATCACACACACACACACACACACACACACACACACACACACACACACACACACACACACACACACCACACACACACACACACACACACACACACACACACACACACACACACAACCAAATCTTAACACAAGCCAATCATTCCCTGTCCTCGCATCCCACAACCCGACACCAGTTCGAATCGTCCCGAAAACCTAACCAAAAACCCTTTTTCTTCTCTTCCTAACAGCATGTTGCGGATGGAGGAAGAACTGCACAACCTCCAACTCCACTCACAAAGATCCACGCCTCTGGAACCCCATCCCCGAACCCACCATGAAGGAGGGGAAGACAGCAGCCCAGACTCTCCTCCTGGTGGGGTTCAGATCACCTACCGGGACGGACAGAGGGTTAACTGGCTCGAAGGAATCATAGGCTGTCTCAGACCTGTGTGGACCATCATTGGCAAGGCGGCGATCAGTGAGAAGCAGCAGCAGAGTGAGTTAGATTATTTTTATTGTTATCGCTGTTGTTAGTGTTATGATTTATTATTGTTAATGCTATTTTTGTTGTTGTTATTTTATTATTATTATTACTATTATTATAGTAGTGTAATAGTAATGGTAATAGTAGTAGTTGTGGTAGTATTATTAGTATTACTAATCATATTATTAGTATTAGTAACAGCAGCAGAAGTAGCATAATAACGATGGAATAATATCAGGAATAGTAATTAGTAATAGCAACAATATAAATAGCAACAGTCATAGCAGTAACAGTGGGAGTAGTAGCAGTAGTATTAACATTTTATCAATATTGAATAAATGGCAAAGAAAGAAAAAAAAAGTTGTGCGTAGGAGAATGATCAATAACAGGGGGAAGGCAAAAGGCCGATGAGGGAGGAAGTTGAGGAAGTAGTAAAATAGGATTTGGAAGAAAGAAATTTAGGAAGTAAATCAAGGAAAATAACAAAACAGATAAGGGAAAGGTAATACAGATAAATGCTCAAAAAGGAAATAGGTGAGAATGAATACTGAGAAATGGGAAGGTTGTTAACCAACATCACTAAAGCATAAACCAAAGGCAATTTAAAAGAAAAGAAAAGAAACAAAAAAGAAAAATAGAGGAGATTTATTCAAATTGAAAGACAATTCCAACATTAAACTTTCACAATTTGATGTCCCTTCAATAAAAAAAAAAAGACCCCAGACATCCTATGTTAACGTGATGTGGCTTCTCTCGTGTTCTTGTGCTTGGCGTGTGAAGTTCAAGGGCTTTATAAGCTGCTCGGATTTGCCAATGGGATGAGAGAGAGAGGAAGATTGACCTTTTGCAATGTGCTTTTTTCCTTCATTTATTGATGTTGTGAGGCTTTCATTTATTGATGTGTGAATAACGTATTGGTCTTTGCATACAAGTATCTCTGTATCTAGGTGGAATTATTATTTTTTTTGAGGTTTTGATATTATTTTATCTTTTCCAGGTAGTTGTAGCTCATTGTAAAGGGTACTTATTAGAAAATGAGAGGTTTTAGATTCACTTTGTTGAAATCATTAAGCTATTCTATTTTGATATTTATTTTTGAAATCAAAAGTTGAGAGCAAGAGATGGAGGCAGATAAAGGGAAAGAGACAAAAAGTGCATTGCATCTATGCCCCTTTTCCACCATTCTTTGCCCCTGTTGGTATACTTAGAGACAAATAAAAGGAAAGAAAGACCAAACAGAAAAAGAAGTCTTTCCTTTTCCTTTCTTTGCCCCTTTTTGGCATATTTAGAGACAATAAAAAGAAAAAAAAAAGACCAGAGAAAAAGAAGTCTTTCACATTTCTTTTGTATTTTTTCCTAGATTTAATTTTTTATTTATTTATTTTTTACTAAGTATAATATCCACAGCCGACAACTGGGAGATCCCGTTCGAGGAAGTGTCCAACCTGGAGTGGCTCGGGTCAGGGGCTCAAGGAGCAGTGTTTCGAGGGCGACTCCGAGGGAACTGGGTGGCCATAAAGAAGGTCAGAGAGCAGAAGGAGACGGACATCCAGCACTTGCGGAAGCTGAACCACCCTAACATCGTCCAGTTCATGTAAGTTTCCTGAGTAAATGTTTCTACATGATAAATGTACAGATACATTTTCCAGTTTACATCCTGAGTGAATGACAAAATG